AACTAAAGTATTCACAGGTTATAGACAATCTAACATATATTACGAACTGCACTCGATCGGATATAGCATTTGCTATGAATAAGTTTAGTAGATTGACGAATAATCCGAGCTATGATATTCTTAGGTATCTAAAATATACCATAACCTTTGAATTACATTTCACAAAATATCCTGCGGTATTAGAAGGATATTGTGATGCGATTAAATATCCGATGTGAAGGATTCTAAGTCTACTAGTGGTTATGTCTTTACCATTGGTGGTGTTGCTATGTCTTGGAAGCTCATAAAGCAAACTTGTATAACCTAATCAACGATGTGATCGAAATTTATAGCTTTGGACAAAACTGGGGAAGAAGCAGAATGACTTCATAACCTTTTGGTAGACATTCTATGTTGGCTTAAGCCGATACCTTAAATAGGTATACATTGTGATAGTCAATCGGCTATCGGGGGGCTCAAAGCAGCATGTATAATGGTAAGTCTAGATATATACGNGAAATTTATAGCTTTGGACAAAACTGGGGAAGAAGCAGAATGACTTCATAACCTTTTGGTAGACATTCTATGTTGGCTTAAGCCGATACCTTAAATAGGTATACATTGTGATAGTCAATCGGCTATTGGTAGGATACAAAATAGCATGTATAATGGTTAGTCTAGAAACATACGTCATAGACACGATACCATTAAGCAATTGATCTCGAATGATATTATTTCCATTGATTATGTGAAATCAAAGAAAAATATCTTGAATTCACTTACGAAAGGCTTGTCGAGAGATCAAATATATTGTCAATCGAAGAGAATGAGATTATAGCCTACTACGTTAGAGTTATTGTAATGGTAATCCAATCTTGTTGACTAGAGATCCCCAAGATCTTCATTCAATAGGATAACTAAGTTATTAAGATCCCATAAAGCACTTGGGAAATAATTCTTACTCATTCCTAGGATAATCAAACTGCCATTTGTAGATATTAAAATGTTTATTTACACTTTTAATGATTCATATAGCTTGACAAATGGAGTATAGCATAATACTCTCAATAGAATGTCACCTATGTAAGTGTGATGTGGGACCACTCTTGTGAGAATTTTGATGCTAAATTCTTTAAAACACTTATGAAATCTAAGAATGGTTCATGACCAAAATGTATAAAGTCATGAGAACCGATTTAGGAAAAACATTGTGTGAGTATTGTTGTCATGGTTTAAAACGACTGCTAAATGATTCAAGACATCATGTTCACCAATTACCCACATAAATTCGATAGTATTTCACTAATGTAGGTTTAAAGTTAGGAGCTACCTCTCCTAATGCGATGTTTTTCACAACTAGTGTCTGCATTATCATTTACTTATCTGATAATTTCCATTCATGTGAGAGATTATTGGAATCATGTTAAAATTGGTTAAGTAAATTTGATTTTGTATCAATTTCAGCCAAGTATTCGGATGGGATCCGATAGTCAAGTCATAAAAATGAATAGACTAACTTGTTCTATCCGCCGAGTAGATGATCGTAGTGTAGTATATTTGGAATCTAAAAACCTATTCCAGATGAATAAGAAATTATTGTCCAAATTTAGAAAGAAAAAAATCGAATTTTGGCTATGTAAGTTCGCCACATGAGCAGCAGCCGGGCTCCAAGCAAGCACCAAGTCCATGCTTTGAGCACTCTAGTGGTAAAACTGGCGGACAACAAGCGCAAGGAAAGGCTATGTCCTTTCATAAAACATGCTGAATTTTGTGGTGTGTCTCTCCGACCACAACTCATCACCTTCTATAAATTGGACACACTTGATGCCATAAAACATTCTCCTTGATTACTTTGCTTCAAAACTCTTGCAAAATCATTTGTTTCTTGCATCAAAATCATTGTTTGAGTAGAGAGAAAATTATTATTCGAGTTCGATGTTGCCTTGAAGTTTGAAGTGCTTCTACTGTAAGAGGAGTCCTCCGTATCTTGGGAGACAAATGCCAATCCACCGTTAGCACCGCTATCGAGCAAATTCGTTTTAAAGATAGTGTTAAAACACTTGTCTTGAAGTTTCATTTCCATCTTTGTTACTTCATTTTTATTCTTTATTAACAAAGTTCATACGTTGTTTTCTAATAGACAAGTTTCAAACTACTTACAAACGATAATCTCATATCCCCAACCAGAATTAAATTAGACATTGAATTTGACTGACAACTGGCATTTAGATTATCTGAACAAGGGAAGAATGTCAAAAGCAACTTGGCTTTGAACTTTGGAGTTAACTTGTAATGTATCCGTAAGATTCCTCCAGACTAACACGTTTGGCACATAAACTTCGCAAGGTCAACCTCACTAATTTTTTAATTAATTTTTGACAGTTGTTTAACTGGTTTTCTACTTTCATTTTAATCTTGGATTATTTATTTTGTTGCATGGCTCCTCCAATTAAAATCCTCCTTGCATAGTAAGTTCTATAAATATATTGTTTGACTTTATTTGTTTAATAAGATTCACAAATAAGTCCTTATTCTTTAATGTACTTTTATTCTGTAATCATGTCAACATTTTAGATTATGTACGCTCAGTTCCACAAGACGACGATTAGATATCCTATAATTTATTTTATTGAGAGTACGACCATTAAAATATGAAAAATGCTATTTAGTCACACTGTGATTATAACCCAAATTTATGTGGTTTTAGGTAATATGCTAAATTAAATGTGGAATTAAATGAGCCATTTAATTTTACTTATCATTTAATGTTACATTTGCGCCACATAGATCAGAGTTATAACCCTAGTTGAGTTAGATAGCATTAATCTTAAAATATAGTATGTCTATAGAAAAAAGTAGTTGAAATACGTTAACAATAGGTTAACACACAAGACGCCGGTTGATGACATAGTGAAGGAACCAAGACTTAGGTGGTTCACACATATTTTGTATTGTAACTTAAATAGGCTCCGGCTCAGAAGTGTAACATGCTCTCACTAGAACATGTAACAAGGAAAAGGTGTAACATGCATGTTGGCAGTGACGGAACAGGACTTGTGTCCTCAACCCCAGATAAGACTATTTTTGTTGATAATCTACTTGTGGAAGTGTCATACTTGAAAAACTCAAAGGGATTGTGTATATAAAGCCATTTTTAAATGGTATAAGAAACTTCATTCAAAACATCTCGTCCCAAATCACAGACGAAAGAAATAAAGGAGTCGATTGAAAAAAATAAAATAAAAATCTAAAGTAGCAAAGTGCGCCATCTTGTAGGCCTGCCTTATTTCCATCTATGGGGATAAAGTGATGAGTGCCACAGCTAACGTCTCTGAGTCAAGCGGTAAGGTATGATAACACCCCGACGTTAGTCGCCATATATACTAAAATCAGCTTGTAAACTATGAACGAATCGTCACATTCCACACCCACTTCAATCCAAGATCCTTGCATGCCTTAATTATTTTTATCTTGATAACTAGTGCCTAGACTTTACACAAGTTAAGCATAGCTGTTGGAGATTAATTATTAGGAATCGGAGATTAATTATTAGGAATCATCTAAGTTTAAAATGCAAGAAATCCTACAATATGTATATCATTTTCAACAAACAATAATTGATTGTCAACTCTTGTTTTCAAAGTAAACCAGATTATATAAGTGAAAACATTGTTGTCGTGCTTAGCAGTTTTTGCAATAATATATTACCATGAACTCTACAACCACAGCTATGTCATGACAAATTCAAACTCTTCTAGTATATAAAGGGTTTTTGGTTGGCCCTATTCGTCGCACAAAATAGAAGCAAAAAATATATATAATAATTAAAGGAATTATGATACTTCAAAAGCTTCTTTCAGTTTTCTTTCTTCAACTTGTATGTGTTCATCTTTTGGTCTTGGAAGGGACTAATGCACAAGCCCTACAAGTAGGGTTCTACAAGAGCAAATGTCCTTCTTTCGAGGCCATTGTGAAGAACACGACGGCTAGCTTCATATCTCAAGCACCATCACTAGCTCCAGCATTGTTGAGAATGCATTTTCATGATTGTTTTGTTAGGGTATGTATGTTAATGATATATACCTTATAGCATTTTCATGAAGTTTTACTGTCATCTCTAGTACGAAAAATCTCTTCAACTCAGTGCGAAACAAAAACGAGTAGGAATTAATATTAGCTAGAGCATGAAAAAATGAGATAAGAATCTTTCGAAAGGAAGCATTAATTTAGCTATTTAGGGTTCAAGAAATCTGCGAATTTTTTGCATAGGAGAAACCACGAAGTCTGATATATTATGTTTTGTTTTAACGAATTGGCAGGGATGCGATGGATCTGTATTAATAAACACTACATCTGGAAACCAAGCTGAGAAGGACGCAATTCCTAACCAGACCCTCAGAGGTTTCCAGGTTATCGACGCTGTCAAATCTGCCGTAGAGAAACAATGCCCGGATCTTGTCTCCTGTGCTGACATCGTCGCTTTAGTAGCCCGAGATGCAGTAACATTGGTAACAAATGCATGCATGCATACATACATACATACATATTCATATTTTTGATCGAAAAATAAATCCAACCTACACATGCATTTGCTGATTATGATATTACGGAATAATTTGCAGATCAATGGACCATCTTGGTCAGTTCCATTAGGAAGACGAGACGGCAGAGTGTCTAGTTCATCAGAGGCCTTGGCCAATTTACCCCCTCCTTTTGCCAACATCATTCAACTCAAAGCATCATTCCGCTCAAAGGGTTTAAATGATAAAGATCTAGCAGTCTTATCAGGTCAATTCCTGAAACTTAATCCATAAAAATGTAAAAGAAAAACTACGAGGATTATAATCGGTGCTTTTCATAAAACCAAACTTGATAAAATAGAGTTTATGAAACTTTTCTGTCTAAGAATTACAAATTAAGGAAATGATCCTATTTATAGAATTATAAGTACATCATACTAATTACACTATTAGGGAAATAATATCAAACAATTAAGAAAATGTCCTGGAGAAAAAGCACAGAAGATAATGTTCTTTTTCTCTAGAGAGAATCTGCTTTTGCGGATATTATTACGTACTAGTATTTGATATACCAGTATTCAATATTTGTCGGTCATAGAATTACTGAATCTGCCTTATTTATTGTAGGCCAGTTATTCGTCAATGCTAGTTTAGCTTACTATCTATTTTAAAGCTCTCGGCCAAACAAAAATTTTACAGAGACTTGATATATAAGTGATTCGATTAGTAACAGGCTTTTTTTGATCCTTTAGAACGACTGTAAATTTAACTAGTAAATCGATTTAGGTAGATTTTCATATCTTTAATGTCCCCGCAAACTCAAGATAGTATTGTAGGAGCCAAATTGAGTTCAAAATTAAAACATACCATTTCCTTTCAGGGGGGCATACCATCGGTATTTCTCACTGCACCAGCTTCTCGAACCGGCTGTACAATTTTACTGGCCGAGGTGACACAGACCCTTCATTGGATCCCAACTACATTGTACAGTTGAAGAACGAATGTAGCCCCACAGATGCGACCTCCACTGTTGAAATGGATCCTGGAAGTGCCAAAATATTCGACACCAGTTACTACACACTTGTGAATAAAAGAAGAGGATTATTCGAGGCAGATGCTGCACTTCTGAATGACAGTGTAACAAGGACATACGTTCAACAGCAGGCAAATTCAGGTGGATCAAATTTCTTTAAGGATTTTGCTGTTTCAATGGTGAAGATGGGAAATATTGGAGTGCTTACAGGCAATAGAGGTGAAATCAGGAAGATATGTTCAGCCATCAATTAATATAACTCTTTCCAATTAATTCAATATTATTAATTGGTGTTTGTTCTTGATTTTGTGTAATAAGTTTTTTTTTTCCTTATTAATCCTTTGTTTAAATTGTTCTTATTTGTAGCTACCTTAAAGTTTCAAGGTAGAAAATTGTTGTTGTGAGCAAGCAAATCATTTATGTAACTGTGCTACATGAGATATATTATTGTTCCTTTTTCTTTACCCTCTTCTTTTTATCCATTGTAAAAATAGTTGTGGCTCTACTTCTATTTTATTGTGTTAGACTCAATTCAAAACATAAATACTTGATGTTGCTAAAGATGTATTGAATCAATCATCAATATACAATTACAACTCAGAGATTCTGGTTGCAAGTACTTCTCGACACTGAGTTCAATCAACAATTGCTGATTTGTCCATTCTTATAATTTCGTTGTGTTTTTGCTCTTTGGGTTACATCATGTCGATATCAGGGAATAGGTACATAAAAACTAGGATTGGTTATTTGTGAAGCTCCAATTCCATAAGTTTTTTTACGTGATGAAGTCCCTTTTAGCCTTTTTCAATTCGAAACTGGAAGAAGTTTTGGGATTAGAAGATAATAGTTACGATAGTCCCCATTTGTTACGAAGATATTAAAGAATTTTTGAATTTAGTTGATGATACCTATGATGGTTGTCTGATTTGTCGAGGTCTCAAAAAAGTATATGCTTGGTACATTAAAATTAAAAGGAGTGGTTACTAATACTAAAAATTAATGGAAGACAATAGAAAATTTAGCCCCTGTTTGACTATCATTATTCCAAAAAATTGTTTACTAAAACAAGATTCACCACCACACATTCATCTAATAAAATATTCTACACACAAACGAATATAATTACTTTTAGTTTCAACCACACATTTTCCAAAAAATACTACTAATTACTCTATTTTTCTCTCAATAATGGGAGACACTCACACACTTAGTCGAGAAGAAGACGTAAAGGAAGAAACCTCATAATAATGCTTTATTTATTTGGAATGTTTACACATCTTAAATGTTTACAATGAGCTCCTTATATAGACCACCACGTGCTAGGAAAGAAATGGGAACGTGTAATGTTGACCCCCCCCAAAATGAATCAACGGATGTCGGGCCCACTCACGCCAATTCAAGTACGATTCCGACGCATTCCTACCGGAATGATGACGATAGCAATGATAAAATGGACGGGGAAGGTACTTTGCGGCAATAGACAAAATTGTTCGAGCTCCGGCGGCTGGAACGAAAGCAATCGCACTAGCAAATATTACTGAGTTGAATCCAAACTAATCCATGTAATAACAGACCAGAATATGTGGAAGGATAGATGAAATGTTAATATGCTTCCTTCCAGAGTTCAAATGTATATTGTCAACATATGATCTTTTTTCTTTCTATTTTTCATCCTCCCTTTCTTAATTACAAAGATGACCTATTTATACTACATTGATCGACGTTGTGTCCGTTGGATTAGGACCACGTGACCTCATCCCTCATTTTGGGACATCACATCACTATCTATTTATACAATTAATACATTGATAAAAGGTCAGCCGTCCTATACAATAGGTTGATACACTGACAACTTTATTACAAGTGTTACATCACTTACTTCTAGTAGATCCTTGAATCTATTACAATAGACAGCATCGGCTTTATGAGCTTTGGATGAGTTGAAGAGCCTCAGAGACATCTGAGATGGTTCTCTCGATTGGACTTTAGCTCTTTTCTTAACTTCTTTAAGCAGTGTCGTCCTTGAAGGAGTGCCTCAGTCTGGGCTTCGTCGTGCAGCGTGAGGACTTCGGACATTGTGTGAGGACCTTGGCCTATTTGTCTTCTTGGTGTGTTTGACCTATTGGGTCTTCTTTTGACTTTCTTGTTAACTGTTTGCCCACGTATCGTGCCACATGGCCTCGTTTTACTAGGCTTCAGAGGGGAGGAGTAACAATAGACCCCTAAGTTTAGACATGATTATTTATGTAATACATGGACTTATTCAATTATTGTGAAAATAAGTAAAACGTTTCGTAGGGAGGTGGTTTTTTTTTCTATTTCACAATAGTCCCTCAAGTCTAAGTATTATTATTTATGCAATGGTTAGAATTTGAGAATGTATCTGACCTTTGGAAATCTTATGTAAGTGGTTTCTGAAGTGGTTGATTTGATAATATGTCATCTCAAGAACGATTTTGGGGAAATCCACCGAAGTGGGTGTATCTGAGGTGCCTTCCCAAAACCAAGGTGTCTTCACTTAACTGAAGTGTCGAAGTGCCTTCACTTAATCGAAGTACCTTACTTAACCGAGGTTGTAGACGAGATCTCGAAGTACATAAGGCTTCAAATAGATAATTATGAGGCATTTTATTATCTTTTGGAAACACGAGGTGATTACGCCCAAAGTGTTACGCGGTGTTATAGTATAGTTTTGGGGTGTCGTATCCACAGGGAGATGGAAAAGTGAATCAAGAGGTTCAATAACTTTGGGTTCTCGTGAATTTGATGAAGGGAATTTGTTTATTGCATTCAAATGTAAATGTCACCGGAAATAATGATGAAATTT